AGAAGTAGGAAAGTTAAGTACATTAATCTCTGAACATTTCCATGTAGTACCAGTTGTGGCCAAGATTCGAATGACCTCATTAAGATTAACACCATCGTCATGAAGTCTAGAGTACTTGTCATTTTCAATATCTTGCAAATTATATGACCTGTTGATAGAGGTTCTATCAAACGGTATCCATTTACCACGTACAAAGACTCGAAAATCTCGATGCTCCTTCGCATTGGCATAGAACTCCCTGACAACAGGAATTAGCGCCGATCGTGGTTGCCGAGCAGACACTTCCCAGTTTCGCCGACCTATCTGCTCTGTCATATAATTGTTAAAACCAAGTTCAGAGATACAGGTCTTGTGTACCACCAGGCTATTAAATCATTCAGCGACCTTGGCACTAATGAATTTGCTCCTGACAAATGAGCTAGAAGAGGAGACTGTGGCTTTTGATCTCTTTTTAGTTGGCATTGAACCTTTGCAAGTGTAGAACATGCAAACCATTAGCAAAAATAGTAGTAAAGAAAGATAAGGCAAGGCTTAAAATCTAGCCATAAGGGCGAACTATGGGCAATAGATGTATTCTAAACCCAATTTCAATTCACAATCATCTACATTGCAATTCCCACATAAGTCAATTAGCACAATAGCCACAATAGCTTCTTTGTACGCAACTACGCTCACCTAAGTAATCCATCAAACACTTTGAAGGCACCAAATTTCCACCAAAAATTGTCCATAATTTAAAACTAATTCATGCCACATTATCTGCACCATACACGAATTTCTTAACACCATAACAAAGCAAGCCCTCACTTAACATAGTTATCAAAAAAAAAAAAAAAGCACATATAAGCATCAACTATCATGTAAGAGAGAAAAAAATAGGGAGCAAAAAATAGCCATACCTGGAATGGTGCTGTGGAAACTAATAGGAATGGATGAATTTATACTTTGCAACAATGAAATGTTGAAAACAACATGAAAGAGTGGGGGGCGAGAATATGTGTAATTGAAAGAATTGTGATGTGGGTGAGGTGAAAGGAGGAAAAAAGTAAAATAAAATCAACAAAGAACAAAACTAAATGAGGAAAGAGAGAGGAAGAGGATACCTTGGGAGGGTTGAAGAGGAGATGAAATGGGGAAGAAGATGAGAGGGAGTATGGTTGGGTAAATTACGTATTGTGAGAAGGGAGAGGACAAGAGGTTATAAGAAATAGAAAATAAGTAAAAAATAAAAAAAATAATTATGTAGGGGGGTCACAGCGCCTAGACGCCGAGACTGCAACACCTAGGCACTAGTTTCTGCCGATTTTGGCATATCGCAACGCCTGGGTGCTGCGAATGCAGCCTAGGCACTGTGTTTCTGCCAGTCGGCAGTTTCGCAGCACCTGAGCCCTGCGTTACTGCCCCTTTTTTATTTTTTATCTTTCTTTAACTCCTCCTCCTTATCACACTCGTTCATTTTCATTGTAGAACTCAAATTTCGCAACATGTAACCTTTATGGATTCTCCTACAAAAAACAAAAGAAAGTGTTACTACTATAGCATAGATTATTAAAAGAACAACAAAATCAAAGTAAAAACCAATAATCAAATAAAGGGTAGAGCTTGGGTTGCCTCCCAAGAAGCGCTTCTTTTAAGTCATTAGCTGGACATAGTGCCGCAGTTATTCGGGAACAGCTAGATGAAGACTCTCTTTAGCGGTGGGAAAATCTTCCACATAATGCTTGATGCGTTGGCCATTTATTTTGAAATTTCCTTTAGTTGGATGGCGTAATTCAACTGTCCCGTAGGGAAACACCTAAGAGACTGTAAAAGGACCGGACCATTTAGACTTCAATTTTCCTGGAAAAAGTTTAAGCCAGCAATTGTATAATAGCACTTGATCCCCCACTCGAAAAATTCGTTGCCTGATGTTCTTGTCGTGTCACTGCTTTGTCCTTTCCTTGTAGATGGATGCATTCTCATATGCTTCTCTTCTGAATTCCTCCAACTCATATAGCTGTAGTACTCTTGTTTCTCCAGCCTTTTCAAGGTCCATGTTTAACTGCTTCAATGCCCCGTACGCTTTGTGATCAAACTCCACTGGGAGGTGGCATGCTTTCCCAAAGACTAGTCAGTATGGGGATATTCCTATAGGTGTCTTGTAAGCTGTGTGATATGCCCATAAAGCATCGTCCAATTTTTTTGACCAATCCTTGAGAGATACATTCACAGTGACCTCCAAAATGCTTTTCAATTGTTTGTTTGACATTTCCACATGTCCACTTGTCTGAGGGTGATAAGGAGTGGTAATTCGATGTTGTACTCCGTACTTATACAACACTGCCTGGAATAACCGATTGCGGAAGTGCATTCCACCATCACTTATAATGACCCTAGGTGATCCATAGCAGTTAAATATGTGCTTCTTTATGAAGTCCACCACCACCCTTGTTTCATTTGAAGGCAATGTTTTAGCTTCTACCTATTTTGAAACATAGTCCACCGCCACAAGGATGTACCGATTGTTGTAAGATGATGGGAACGGACCCATAAAATCAACCCCCCAGACATCAAATATTTCCACTTCCAAAATATTGTTAAGTGGCATCTCGTGACGCGCTGATATGTTACCTATTCTTTGACACTTATCCTATAACCTACAAAACTGTGGCAATTCTTGAACAATGTAGGCCAAAAGAAACCACATTGGAGCACCTTTGCTGCTATTTTAGTGGGGCCAAAGTGCCCTCCATAAGCCGAAGCATGTACTCATGAAAGGATCGATTTCATTTCATCCTCAGGCACACATCTCCTAATGATCTGGTCCACCACTCTCCTATATAAATTTGGATCATCCCAGTAATAGAATTTTGCTTCATAACTGAGCTTCTTCTTTTGCTGATAGGTGAGATCCGGATCCATATAGCCACTGGCTAAGTAATTAACAATGTCTGCATACCATGGAGCTTTTTCTACTTGCAGTAACTGTTCATCTGGGAAGATCTCATTAATATTCACATCATTTGAATCCTGTAGTTGCTCTATCCTTGATAAGTGATCCGTTACCTGATTTTCTGTTCCTTTTTTATCACGAATCTCGATGTCAAATTCTTGTAGTAACAAAACCCAACGAATTAGCCTTGGTTTCGCATCTTTTTTCTCAAACAAGTACTTCAGAGCTGCATGGTCTGTATAAACTATCACCTTGGACCCAATCAAATAAGAACGAAATTTATCAAAAGCAAAAACAACTGCAAGCATTTCCTTTTTAGTTGTTGCATAGTTGATTTGAGCATCAGTCAATGTTTTGCTAGCGTAGTAGATAACATGAAATACTTTTTCATTGCATTGTCTAAGCACTGTACCCACTGCAAAGTCACTGGCGTCACACATGAGCTCAAAAGGCAATTCCTAATCTGGAGCCACTATCACAGTTGCCGATGTCAATTTTTCTTTCAAAATGTTAAAGGCTTTCAAACATTCATTAGAAAATTGAAATGGTATATCTTTCTCTAGCAGTTGCACAATGATTTTGTTATTTTTAGAAAGTCTTGAATGAATCTTCTGTAAAACCCTGCATGTCCCAGAAAACTCCTAATCCCCTTTACTGAATTAGGTGGCGGCAATTTCTCAATCACCTGTATTTTGGCTTTGTCCACTTCAATCTCCTGCGTAGAAATTCGATGTCCCAGTACTATTCCTTCCGTTACCATGAAATGACATTTTTTCTCAATTAAGCACAAGGTTCTTCTCCTCACATGTTTGCAATACAAGAGCCAACCGATCCAAGCAATCGTCAAATGAATCTCCAGATACAAAAAAAATCATCCATAAAACCTCAATGTACTTTTTTACCATGTTAGAAAAGATGGCCATCATGCATCGTTGAAAGGTTGCCGGTGCATTGCATAAACCAAAAGGCATTCTTCTAAATGCAGACGTTCCATAAGGGCATGTGAAGGTTGTCTTCTCTTGGTCTTCTGGAATAATTACTATCTGATTGTACCCTGAATATCCATCCAGAAAGCACTAATGAGAATGTCCTGCCAACCTTTCCAACATCTAATCAATGAACGGCAATGGAAAATGGTCCTTTATAGTTGCATTATTTAACTTCCTATAATCTATACGTACTCTCTACCCTGTTGGTATCAGCTCGTTGTTCTCGTTCTTCTCCACTGTGATTCCACCCTTTTTTGACACTACACTAGACTCTCCCATGAACGATCAGAGATTGGAAAGATAATACCTACATCTAACAATTTCAGCACTTCTTTTCGCACTACTTCTTTCAAGGTTGGATTTAATTTGTGTTGTCCTTCCACTGATGGCTTTGACTCGTCCTCCATTAAAATCTTGTGCATACAAAGAGTTGGATTTATTCCTCTGATGTCAGCTATTGTCTATCCAATTGTCATTTTGTGCTGCTTGAGTACCTCCAACAATTTATTCTTCTCTTCCATTGTCATGTCATTTGCAATGATTACTGGAAGTGTTGTAGATTCTCCTAAATATGCATAACGGAGATGTGAAGGTAAAGGCTTTAGTTCAAGAGTGGGTGTCTTTTCTACTTAGGGTATCGGGGGAGAAGGGTTTTCACCAAGAGATTCATACTATCAATGCCTTCTTCCTATGGGTTGTTCAGCTAAGTTGACAACACATTTAGCTTTTCCTACATTTGTTGCTTCCAATTGCGCAAGTTCTGCCTAACAAAGATTTGTGTGATGCTCTATATCAAATGTATCCACCACAAGCTCTTCAAAAACATCAACTTGGCAGCAAGTGTTGGAAGTCAATGTGTGTTCCATTGCCTTGAACATGTTGAACATGACTTGCTCATTGTCCATTCGAAGAATCATTTTTCCATCATAAACATTAATCAATGCTCTTCCAGTAGCCAAGAAGGGTCTTCCCAAGATCAGAGGAATATTTGAGTCCTCTTCCATGTCCAAAATAATGAAATCAGTCGGAAAAATAAATTTGTCAACTTTGACCAGCACATCTTCAATAATTCCTTTGGGTCATTTGATCGATCTGTCGACCAGTTGCAAAGAGATTGTTGTAGGTTTTACTTCTCCTAATCCAAGAGACCTGTAGACAGAGAGAGGCGTCAAATTAGCACTGGCACCTAAATCACATAAAGAATGTTCAAAGAAATTAGAACCGATTGTGCAAGGTATAGTGAAACTCCTTGGGTCTTTTAGTTTAGGAGGTAGCTTTCTCAATAGTATTGCACTGCACTCCTCGTTCAAGCATACTGTCTCATGTTCTTCCAACTTCCTTTTGTTAGATAGGATCTCTTTCAAGAATTTTGCATAGCTGGGTATTTGAGCAATTGCGTCTGCAAATGGAATGTTGATGTGCAGTTTCTTGAAAATCTCAACAAACTTGGCAAACTGATTATCCAACTTCTTTCTTTGTAACCTTTGAGGGAAGGAAATTGGTGGCACATAAGCCTTCACGGGGCTGGGTGCTCTCACTGCAGGTGTTTCTTTCCTTTCATTCTCCTTGTCAGTTGGTTGTTCAAACTCTACTTCTATCCCAGCCTCTTCACCCATTATTTTCTTTTCTTTTCACTCTGGTCTCTTCACATGTATTTCTGGAAGTTGCACCCCACTCCTAGTAGTAATAGCTTGCACTTGCTCTTTTGGATTAACTATTGTGTTGCCTGGCAATGTCCCTCATGGGCGTTATGCAAGCTGTTGAGCTATCTGACCAATTTGTGTTTCCAACTTCTTGATTGATGCTTGCTGATCTTGAAAGTTAGTGTCAATCTGCTGAAACAACTTGTCTGTCTTCTGCACGTACTAGTTGAACATCTCCTCCAAACATGATTTTTTGTCCTGTTGGGCATTATTTGAACTATTCCCTTGTTGATTATCCGACCATCTGAAGTTTGGGTGTTGTCTCCATCTTAGGTTGTATGTTTGAGCAAATGGATTAAAATTTCGAGACCCATTCTGAATGAAATTGACCTGTTCGTCGGGATAGCCTATAGATGTGCAGTTTTCTGTCAGATGATTAGCCCCGCAGTTCTCGTATGATGGACCATCTGTCACTGCATGTGCTCATTTTGTTTGTGATTTCACCAATAACTCCACCTGTTTTGTCAATGCTACTATTTGGGCGTTAGCAGCTGCTGTGCTGTCTAACTCATACATTCCTCCTATCTTCGATGGCGCCACTCTTTTCGATGAGAACATTGAATGTGTAGTGGCAATCAACTCAAACAGTTCCATGGTTTGCTACATAGATTTTCCTATAAGTGATCCTCCAGCTGAGGCATCAACTTAGGATTTTGACAGTGGTGTAAGTCCAGTGTAGAAGTATTGAACTTGATTACCTATAGTAATTCCATGGTTTGGGCATTTTCTCATCATCTCATTAAACATATTCCATGCTTCGTGATAGCTTTCTCCCTCTTTCCATTGAAAAGTTTGAATTTCCAATCTGATTTTAGCTACCCTCGTCGGCGGGAAAATTTATTACAGAACTTCCTGGTTAGTTCTTCCCATGTAGTAATGCTAGCGTGAGGCTCAGCATCTAATCACTCCAATGTAGCATCTCTCAATGTAAATGGGAATAGTCGTAGTTTAATAGCATCTTCATTGACCCCCGGAGCATGAAAGTTCTGACAGTTTCTGATAAATCCAGAGATATGCGTGTTTGGATTCTCATGAGGTAGCCCGTAGAATTGCAGGGTGTTGCTCATCAAGTTAATCCAATCTGACCTGATCTGAAAGTTATTCACCCCAAATTCTGGATACATGATACTGGAGTGCATGGGTGCTGCTATAGGTGTCGGGAACATTGATACTAGCAAATCACCTTCATTTATTTCCCCTCGCTCGTGCTGTTGTTTCGGTGGTGCCACCATTCTTGCGGCCATTTGTCCAATCGGATGCATAGGTATAGGGATTTGTTGATTGTCAGCCATTTAATGTTGCTATTTTTGTTTGTATTATTTGCGTCTTCGTCTGAAGGTACGTTCTATCTCTAAATCAAATGGTTCAAAATCGTCGCCTTGGGCACGGTGCATACAAACACAATTTTCTGTGAATAAAAGAAAAATAAACAAATCAAATAACAATTAAAATAAAAAAATAAATTAAGACTAAAAGAAATAGTCCCCGGCAATAGCGCCAAAAACTTATTGTAAAATTTTGTTTCGCAAGTGTACGACCCGAAACAGTAATAGTGGACCTAAGAGTCCGGATTGTCGATCCCACAAGGACTATTTTCTAATACTTAATTCAATTTTTCTTTAACTACTATTTCACTAAAACAAATCAAAAGTTGTAAAATATGAGTTTTAATCTAAATTCTAGAAAATAAATGGATGTTCACACGATTAATTGGAGAATCAAATAATGAATGGATGCTAGGGTAGAATAACTTCACCAATTGATCACCTTTACATCTCAAATTAAAACTCAATTCTAATGTAGTGCTCGGTCGAATTCTTCTATTGTATTCGATTTATCCCTCTCAAGTTCTCATTGAGCCTATTCAACTAATTAAATTTCATATCTCTATAAAAATTCAACTTAGTTAAATGAGTTCTATGTCCCAGGAATTCAATTATGACCACAATAAATGGTATAGGTATCTCTACTCGTTATACCAATGTACTGAATTTTACTACATGTTCTAAATCCTAAACTCATATCTCTATTTGTAAAGAATTCACAAAAATCATCAAATTATTGATAAGATAATTTAATGCATTCAACTCATAGTAAAATCAACACATGGAAAAATTAAAAACTGAGAATCTTAATAAGAGAATGTAAAGGATCCCAATTGGTTACATTATTTCCCCTAACAATGAATTTAGCTACTCATAATGCAAGAAGAAAAATAGGAAATTGCCTTAGAATACATCACCGAATTTGTAATAAAGATGTAGAAGAAAAAGTAGAATTCTTGCACCAAGATCTCCTCTCCCTTCCAATGAATGCTTCTAATCTTCAATTTCTTGGTATTAATCTTCTTGAATTTCTCTTTTGAATCTCCCTTTTTGTTGTCTTGTCTCCAATGTGTCAAGAACCCCTCAAAAGTATGAGAAAGATGTATTAATATGTGTCCCTCCGTTTTGTGTAGAAGTAGGGTTTTTCTGGATTTTAAAACGGCCCAAAAAAATGTGCTCTAAATACTCAGTTGCAGCGCCTAAGAGCTATGAGACAGAGCGTAAACACTGCTAATAGCGCTGGGTGCTATGATTGTAGCACCTAGGCACTGCCTCTCGAGTTCAAATTTCATCTTTTTTTCAGTTTCGTAGCGCCTAAGCACCGTCTTTCTATCCCAATTTCGAGTTTTTGGCCTCTTCGTCCACTTTAATACCTCTTTTTGCATCGCCTCTCCTAATCTTCAAAACAACACTAACAAACACATCAAAAACGTTTATACTCACAATATCTAGCATTTAATCAAGCTAAACTTGTGCAAAATTCATGAGTGAAACAAACTCGTCAATATCGTTAGCGCAGCTAGGAAAATATCATTGGAGATTTCTAAAAAACTGGGAAGAGCTATTGGAAGTCAGTTGGCTCGTTTGGCTAGTGAGTGCGGCTACATCGTTCGATCCTTTGCTCCACTCTGTTACAAAATGTGGATCGACATACCCAATGAAGAGAAAAATAAATTATATGATCAAGTTTTGGTAGGTCATAAACAAATTCATTTTTACAAAATTTTGTAGAATAGTTATTAGTTTCCTGTATTTAAACTTTTCTTTTTCGGTAGGTAAAATTCAAGCTTGATTTGACAGTTGAGCTTCTCAATAAATGTGTGAACGATACTTTAGCGAGAAGATATCATGATTATTGATGTAGACTCAAAGAGAAATATTTCAATGGAAAAACATTAGATGATGCAATGAAGAACAGCCCAACTGACATAAAACAAGTTAATTGAGGCTGGTTGTGTCAATATTGGTCTACCCCTGAATTTAAGGTAACTTTAATTAAAAATGCATATACTTGTAAATAGTAAGAATAATATAATTTAGATGTTATCTTAAAATAATTAATATAATTAAAAATAATAAATTATAATGAGTTAATTATATTTACATATAAATTAATTACAGGCACTATCTACACGTAACCTAGCAAGCCACAACTGCATTAAATATAATCATCGTGGTGGATCAAAATCATTTGTTGCACGTCTTAAACAAAAGGTAATACTTTCTTTTGTTTTATGAAGACAAATATATTTGTGTAACCTGATATATATTATTTCAAATAGAGATCAATTACTAAAGACAATGGACAAGGAGAAATAGAACTTTATTATGAGACTCATTACACTGAGAAGAAAGGGTGGATAAACGATGAAGCATGAACAAGATATTTAAGTATATTAACAATTTATTCATTGTTATTGACATTTTTTATATAATCTTTCATTAACATGTATTCTCTCGTCTTTTTCTTTACTTATATATAGGAGAGGATGCTTCAAATTAAAGAACAATCTATTCCAGAGGGATCCAAGGCCCCATTGAGCTTGATATTATGCAAGAAGTTTTAGGAAAATCTAGAGGTTACATTAGAGGACTTGGACATGGTCCAAAACCTATCTCAAGCCACTCTGCTTATTTGACATCGGTTGATACTGAATCAATAGCCCTTCGAGAGCAAATACAAAAGCAAGAGCAAAAATTATTGGATATGTGTGCCAAGATTTCTCAATTTGAGGCATTAATGCATAAGTTCGTATTGAGTCAAGTCGGCATGTCTCCACAACAAGCTGAACCAGCAACAATGTTTAGCATGCCACCGCCACCGCCTACTGATAATATATAAATTATGATTTATTTGCTTTAATTGTTGAGACAACTATTTTCCTTTATGGATTGGTTCGACCTAGTATTTCTATTTTTGTAAGTTATTATGTGATTGAAAGTTTAATCGTCTAATGCATTTTTCTTAATTTTTTTGACAATAAATTTTTTTATAAATTTTATACAGCTTTTATTATAAAAATTTTGCACTTGATAAAAAATAATTAAAATTTTTAAAAATTTGTATTACACATTAAAATTTAGCCAGACGAAAAAAACAAACACTTAATACAAAAAAATAATGTTAGAAAAAAATTAAGATAGCAAGCAACGAATGTTATTAAATAAAATAAAATCAACGAATGAGTTACATCGTAAAAACTTTACAACAACTTACATTTGAGGTCTTTTGCCGCATGCATTGCACGTTGCAGTATCTTTTAACTTTACGACAATATTAAAGTCTACATATATGGGTGAGCATTGTAAAAAATTTACTGCAATATTTTTTGTCCGTTTCAAAAAAGTTAATTTCTTGTAGCCTTTTTTTCCTCCAACTATAGAATTTTTAGCAACAAATATTTTTTATCGCCAACAGGAGACCCTATTACATCACAAGCATTTTGTTGCAAGAAAAAAAATTTCACCATAAATTTCCCACCAAAAATATTTTGGCGCCTTGCTTCCCTCATATTTTCAGCAACATTCATTATTATTTGTTGCAACATCTCACATTTCACGACAACTTTTTATGTCATCTTATAGTTT